AAATGTTTTATACACATTATAAATCATCATTAAAATTTATGCATTTCATTTCTTAATGACAAATTTGGCTTAGAGTTTATCGAAAATACATTTTTGATAACCTCCCTTATTTACAAAAAATGTAAATTTGGTAATATAATGCGTTGTTGAACAGACAATATTGATAAATCTTCATTTTAGCACTTTTTCAGATTTATGATACAAAACCATAATAAAAAATTGAGTTACAGGATCTTTAAAGTACCAGGAATATAGAGCAACCTTCACAGAGCCACCTTTTGTAGAGCTAGTACCTCTGTACAACATTAGTTTCAATTTTTCCAAAAGCAAAATTTTTAAACAATAAATTTCATTACTGTATAGTAACATCCCTCGGCAACAACCCAAAACTTTTGTCTCTCAAAGATCAGACATTTTTGTTCTGCAGAGGTTGTATTTAAATTACATAAATTTCTTACTCTGCTTTTGTTCATGTCACATCACATTTATTCAAGTTATATAGAAGATATTTGTTTAGTTCAGTGTAAGATCGGAATTTATTACATGCTTTCCGGTGGTTTATAGAAATATATCAGTGATATAAAACTGGTAATTTCACTGTTTGAAACAGTGAAATTACCACTTTGATAATTTCACTGTTTTGAATTTAAGCCCCTTACGTTGTTTTAGTGAAATACCAGCGTGCACAGTACTGGGTACCAACTTAATGATGTGACGTCTTAAATGACGTCACGTTGTATTATTATTTGGCGCGCTTTTCATTCAGTATTAGGTTAAATGTCTTTTTAAGACGTTTCTTTGCATATAATAAAAAGAAAATTTGTTTAGTTTAGTGTAAGATCGAAATATATTTCACCTTATGAACACCAAAAGTTCATATTTCACTCGTGGCTTCGCCACTCGTGAAATATACCTTTTGGTGCTCACTCAGTGAAATATATTGCGATCTTACACTAAACTAAACAAATATCCTCTATATATTTTTTTGAGTGAGCACCAAAAGGTATATTTCAAGAGTGGCACAGCCACAAGTGAAATATGAAATTTTGGTGTTCACGATGCCAAATAATCACACACCAAATAATAATACAATGTGACGTCATTATGACGTTACATCATTAACTTGGTTTCCAGCACTGTGCCTGCTGATATTTGACTGAAACAACATATCTGGCTTAAATTCACAACAGTGAAAAATATCAAATTGATATTTTCACTGTTTCAAACAGGCTTTTGAGTATTTTTATGGGTGATGATATATTTACTGTTAATCACAAACCTGTACAGTAAACTTCACTTATAGCGGACACGGTTATAGCATACTTCTGGTTATAAGGAACAATTTTTTTGGCCTGAATTTTGCCCTTCTTTATTAAATATAAAAAATACTGTTATAGCAAACACTGTTATAAGGAACTCATTTTTGAGTCCCAATAAAGTTTAAAGTACAGAAAATTACATTTTTATTCATAAATAGATCCAGCATTTTCTACTTTTCATCGGCATGGCAAAAAAAAAACTCGGCCAAATGTAACGTTTATTGTTGTATTTACAGCTATGAGCTGTGGATTTGTATAGCATTACGTAATGGCTTTCTGTTAGGATTATTTAGCATGAGTTCTTGTCACCAAGATAAAACCCAATTAAACAAACAAACTAGAAGATAAGGGAAACAACACGCATTTTTTCACTCGCTATACCTTGGTTATTTAAGTAGTTCATAGTTATTGAAACTGTTTATGGGTGTAATGACATTACAAAAATGGTTAAGGTGTCTGCCTCTCAACCCAGAGATCATAGGTTCGAGGCCTTATTGTGTCACGACCATGTTTCTCCATATGACAACAGTACTGGTTGGTTTCAGGAAGCGGACACGAAAGTGATTAATATAAGTTGGAAGAACTTGTTTCGCAATTGAGCTTAAATAATTATGTTTAAACCAATTAACAGCAAGAATAACTCCCAATGACTGATGGGAAATTGACATTACAAAAATAGTGAGGGGTAATAAAATAAGACGTTATACATTTGTTTCAGCTAGCAGAGATGACGTGGGATGACACGGGCGAGATGTTAGATAAATACCTCAGGTCAACAATACTGAACCTTGCTATCAATCTGAAAGACGAGGCTGCCATTAAGAAAGGGAGAGAATTGTTTGAACAGTGGAAATCTGATCATAACAGGTAAGGGAAGTAACTCTTGTGTGATTTTAATTTTGGTGCTGTTTTTATGAGTATAAGGAATGAATCTTTAATGACCAAGGGAAGTAAATCAAGGGAGGTTACAATCAAGGGAGGTAAATCAAGGGAAGTAAATCAAGGGAGGTAAATCACTATTGTACTATCATTTAGCCTGTCTCTCCATAAAAGTTTATCTGTACAGTATCCACTTGTTTCATTTAAATAAAACCTTCACTGAAGTGATTTGTCATCAAGCCTTATTATGCATTTTACTGTCTGTCCGTCTGTTTTTTGTTTGATATTGACAAAACTTCACATGAACAAACTGTAGCTGGTACTCTACGAAACTATACAAGTGGTTCTAATATCAGTACTCTACAAAACTATACAAGTTGTTCTAATATCAGTACTCTACAAAACTATACAAGTGGTTCTAATATCAGTACTCTACAAAACTTAGTATATACAAGTTGTTCTAATATCATGCTTAGGTAATAGGAGGTTTGTCATAGTGGAATTTTACCAACATTTACAAAGAAAGGTGACATTCTGTGTAAAAGAAATGTGGATGGTTCCAGTCTTTCTAGCATTAACATAACTTAAAGACACTGTTGTAATGTATAAAAGACTGTTTACTTTATTTTTAGCATCAACGTTAACCTAAAGACTGTTATATATAAGACTTGTTCCTTTATTTTTAGCATCAATGTTAACCTTAAGACTGTTATATATAAGACGGGTATAATGTATGGTACAGATGAAGACTGGGACTATGTTTGGAACGCTTTCCTGAAGGAGGCAGACGCTTCGGAGAAAATGAAGCTTCTGATGGCATTAGGACATACAAAAGAATCACGTCTTATGTTAAGGTATGTTGTAGTAATTTTGTAGTCTCAAGCAGAGAGAGATACATTCCAACCAGCAGTTTGAGAGTGTTATGTTTTTTTCATTTTTCAAGGAAGGGGATCTGCCTGTCCATGAAATACATTGAAATTAGTTAAAGTGTGTGTTATTATGCAATGAAATCACTGTAAGAAATGTGACATAACCACTAGATATGTGACGTAACCACTTAAAATGCGACAGGCTGAAAATAAGTACGGAAACAAATCGGGCACAATTTAGCTTTAAATATCAGGTATGACTGAGTGTTTATCTGTTGATAATCTTGTTACCCCCTTGTGATATTATTCCTTGCATCACTACTCCAAACAGTGATTTTGTTGAGCAATAAAATCACAGTTTTGGATATAACATTTCTTAAATCGAATGAATTGTTTGCAGTGGTTTCCAGTTTGTTCTATAAGTAAATACAATGATTGTTTCCTCCTAGCATTAGGATTTAGTTTTATATAGACCAGTAAAGGTCTCCAAGGTTAGATTTTCCTTCTATTGCTCTAAAAAAATTATCAGCAACATATTACTGCAAAAGTCAAATAAAATAAAGATTTGCACATTTCAAATATAGAAATGTTTTCTGAACAATGTATATATATTCTGTGTTATTATTTTAGGTCTGTGAACAGTGAATGCATTTAATAGCAGTATTTTAAAGGAATAGGAATGGATGGGTTGATGTCTGTCTAATATAGATATTCATCATTAAAAAAGAGGTACCATGACAGTTTTTTTGTTGACATCAACCCTTTAAGTGAGAAATTCGTGTTTTAAGACACTGTTTTTTACTTGAGAAATAAGTTCATGGGCGCCGCCATTTTGGCGTTCTGTCATTCTCGCGAGACAGACGAGACCGAGATTGTGACGTGTTATACCCACTTCCGGTAAAGGTGTACACGCTGGTACAACTGAAATATATCTTGACGAAGAACTTAATTAATCTTATTGCGTACATTATTTATTATTTATGAAAACATCATATGGAACTGCATGGCTTTAATTAATTAATTGAAGACGCCGCGGCATTAATTATCATTAATGTTGTCCGATTTTCAAGCTTGCTGATGATCCCACCACATGATTTAAGCAATGACTGCTTAGTTTTCAAAGATAAACCATCAATTTAATTTGGGTACTTTGAGAAACTTCTTCAAATTGACGATATATCCTTTTATTTGGTACTTAATTTTCGCTGGACAAGCTGTCTGAATAGGGTACATCGCCGGTCATGTATCTTTTTCTCAGCGGTAAATATCAACTAAATCCAATATGCAGATATTTCCTGAGGACGCGATTTTCCGACATTGACGCTAAAAATAAAATGGCGAAGGAAAATCGGCAGCTAGACTAATATCGTATGAAAACAAAACTGTCCGTTCGGTTAATTAGGCACCCAGTCAAATCTGGTACCAACAGCAACAGGTTGCCCATTAGGCATAATTCCCCTATTATTACGCATATTCTACGCAGTTCCCTATAGCTTTTTTCCACGTTATCTACTTACCACACAGATACGCATTTCTACTACCGTAAATTTAATCCAATAAAACAAAAAACATAAATCTACTTAATATTCAAAATGATTATTGGTAACTGAAAAAATGTGTTGCTATTGTATGAAATGCTGTAATTTACGGTATAACTTGAATCCCCTAAGGTCATTCAGTTCACTGATGAAGTGTAAAAAAAGTCTATTTCGTCATTAGAATATTTGACAAGGGTGATTAACCAATCAGGGCAACATTGTGCATGATCAAAAGGTCTGTCGGCACAGAGGCATACAAGGAGCAATAAAAACCGTTAGTACACAGTGTGACAGGAACATTTGGTGTAAATTAGGAACAATTAAAATGGATAATGCACAGTATTGGTCATAAGTAGTAAGAACCAGCAATTGTGTGAATAAATTATGCAAATGAGATTTTTGAGCAGCCAATAAAAATGTTTTGCATGCAGTTAATATTAGACTACGATTACGATGTAAATAAATACCACGAAGCATCATTGACAGACATGTAAACAATTTACTTTTCAAAAGAGTTGCTTATATTTTTGAAATGTGTACATCACTACCAACATAATTATGTTCACACCTTTTAATTTGAAAGTCAGAATCAAACTGCAAAAATTTAATTACATGTACTATTAAGAACACGTTTTAGTAGGATTTTAATAATAATGATAATTATCGCCGTTCAATAATTAACAGCCAATTATTCGTTGGTGCGTTGTTTATTTAATTGCATTATTTGATTGTGAAACTTTGTTAAATAATAACATGTGTATTTATTAACTCTGTGAAATATTGTTTAATTACATTAAGATGAGACTTTAATGAACATAGCATTGTTTGGAGTAACGGGCATCACTGGCCTGAAGTGGTGCGACCGGTAGACGTTGATTTTTTATTTGTTTCTTTATTTTTTATTTTTTTTATTTTTTGATATTGTTACGTATTTTGAACAAGAAAAAAATTGCCTCTACACCTCCTGTGAAAATTAAATTGTCTGGTCAATACTTTATTATGTAAATATTTCGCTACGATTCAACTAGATTTATCATAAATCTAAGATGTGGGGAAATGACATCACGCGCACCTGTTTTTATACGGCCAATACACAAACATGGCCGCGCCTACTGATTTGTAGAAATCGGCGATTTAGCGATTTAAATTTCGTTATCATTGGTTTAATATTATTATTTGGCGGCATAAAATTTGCAGATTTATTATTTATAGTATTCGTTTTCTGAAATCAAGTTTTTATTCTAACCTTGTTTTTCCCTTTAATTTAATATTTAGCGTGACAATTCTGAACAATGGCAACATACACTTGTCACAAAAGCTTATGTGGGCATAATAGATATGCTCTGAACAGTATCTGGATATGACCATTTTTGTTTCAATCCTTCAATAAATGATGACTTAATGGTCAGAATACACATTTTCATATTTTTATCTGAACTTTGACCACTATGTGTGACCTTGATCTTGGCTGCAGGCATGTGACACTCCGGCTGACAATGGTGAACATTTGTTCCAAGATATATTGAAATACCTCTATGCATGTAGAAGTTTTGTTCTGGACGAGCGTTTTTTCAATGACCTCTAAGTGTGACCTTGACCTGTGACTAAGAGAGCTGGTTCAAGTGCTTGACTCAGCTTCTGATAGTGGTGAACTTGATAGTGGTGAACAATACTATAAAGTTTCATCAAAATAGGAGATATGCTCCGGAAAAATTTTGACGCGGCCTGTTTTTCAAACAGGCGCACAAAAAGGGAGAGCTGTTGTTGTGACCCTGGCATTGGCTGCACTGTCACACAATCTCATTGGTTATATTTTTGTAGGCAAGTTGGTATTTCCAAAACAACTGAAGGGAATAAGATGAAATTTTACACACTAAAGTCTTGTTCTCTGTTATTATAAAGCACGATAGTCTTAGGTTCCATAACTCTTGAGTAGCCTTGTTACAGAGTTATTTCCCCTTTCTCTTACTATCAAGCTCGCAGAATAGCCAAGTGCGCTGCCTAACGGACAGCTCTAAATTTTACACACTTGTTCTCTGTTATTATTAAGCATGATAGGCACGGAATCCATAACTCTGAGTAGCCTTGTTACAGAGTTATTCCCCCTCTCTTACTATCAAGCTCCCAGAATAGCCAAGTGCGCTGCCTAACGGACAGCTCTATATTTTGAACCTGATTTGATTTTTGATTTTTTTATATATATGAGCCGTGTCACAACAAAACCAACATAATGGGTTTGCGACCAGCATGGATCCAGACCAGCCTGCGCATCCGCGCAGTCTGATCAGGATCCATGCTGTTCGCTTACAAACCCTTTAACAAGTAGAGAAACTGATAGAGAATAGCATGGATCCTGATCAGACTGCGCGGATGCGCAGGCTGGTCTGGATCCATGCTGGTCGCAAACCAATTATGTTGGTTTTGTCGTGACGCGGCTCATATATCATTTCCGTGTGTTTCAGATTGATGAAGTATAGTTTGAATGATACATTGGTGAGATCTCAGGATGCATTTCGAGTGTTAACATCTATATCAGGGTCATACACAGGCCAAATACTGGCATGGAGATTCTTTCAACAAAACTGGAAAACTTACCAAGAAAGGTAAGAAAATTGTTGTATTGATTTATCATAAAGGGACATTTTGCCCTGCCATGGGTATATACTGTTATATTAAGTGAATATTTTTACCTCATGAAAAATTTGCAATTTGTCTAGAAACAGACTTTTTGCGTGGGGAAATATTTGCGGAAGTAAGATTTCAGAAACTCCCGTAATATTAGTGAATGTTCAGTTCGATTTTTTTTCAATTACTTCATAGTGTGAAATATTAAATGAACATTAGATAATGTTTCAAATGTTTCAAAATATGTTTGTTTGTATTTAGCAAATGTTATTTTAAGTAACTGGTGCACCAGTGTTATGCTAAAATGATAAAAGTCGCCACCGAAGACTTAACTAAGTTGATGTTACTATTGCGGGCTCAATTATTTGCTAATTATTTTAAATTTGCAAAAATCGCAAGTAAAGGAAGAGTTTAATTTTGAGAGTACAGTAATTGCTCTGAAAACTGAACACTGTTTTGGCTCGGCAAAAAGTCTCGTTTTCAGAAGATACTGGTTGTTAAACATTTCTTTTTGCAATATTTCTTACTACCATGTCATAAATAGAGTATGGAAAATTATAAATTCATTAAATGGAATTTATCCTCCTATTCTACTTAAAGTCAATGCACAAATAATTTTTGGAGCAAATATATTATTCTGAGATTAATCTTAAAAATATCAACATAAATTGGAAACAGTGAAAATATCAATTTGATATTTGATATTTTCACAATATTTTCACCGTGGACTACTTTAAAAGTAGCTAGCACAATACTGGGAACCAACTTAATGATGTGAGGTCGTAAATGACGTCACATTGTATTAATTTAGTATTAGTTAAAATTTCTTTTTAAACGTTTCTTTGCATATAATAAAAAGAAAATATGTTTCACACCATGAACACCAAATAGTTCATATTTCACTCATGGCTGAACTCGTAAAATATACCTTTTGGTGCTCACTTGGTGAAATATATTCTGATCTTACACTAAACTAAACAAATATCCTGTATTTAATTAAATTGCCAATATGAAATTGACAGTGTTTTTTTTTAATGAATTTATAAAGAAAGAAAAACATGATTTTTTTTAAAACTTTTTATCTGTTTAAATGAATACAGTTGGTTTTTAGCTAATGGTTTGAAACTCATTAACCCGGTAACTGAGGTTATATTTGACACAGTGCCGATTCTTTAAAAAAATTATTCTAAACCTTTCCTTTAAGTTTTTTAAATACATATCAAGAACAAATAAAAAAATACAAACAAAATGTCATATCTTGTCATTAAGAAGCATAGTTAATGTTAAAAATTACGGTACTTTACCCATCCCTAGATTTGCCACTTCAATGCCACCCTTTTCAATGGTGGAGTATTTAGACAATTTTCCACCAATAATGCCACCAAAACGCCACCCAAATCATGAAAATGGTGAAAAATTTTAGCAGGACTGATGGTAGAGAATTTTCCAGTAAATTCCACCTTTTTTACACTAAATGCCACCAATGAGTGGAAATTTGGTGGAGTATTTAGACAAAATTTCACCATTATGCCACCTTAGGGTGGCAAATTCATTTTCCACTAGATGCCACTTGTTTCCACTTATCGCCACCATCAGGGTGGAAAATTGGTGGAGTATTTAGATAAATTTCCACCATTATGCCACCATTCAGTGGAAAACTCATTTTCCACAAAATGACACTTATTTCCACCTTTTACCACCATTAGGGTGGAAAGTTGGTGGAGTATTTAGACACTTTTCCACCATTTTTCCACCATAAAGTGGCAAATTCAGTTTCCACTAAATGCCACCTATTTTCACCCTTTCAGAAATTTTCCACCTTGTGGGTGGCAATAGCTGGAAACTGCTTGAAAGTCACCCAGTACCCTAAAAGAGAAACAAACAAATTTTAAAAATAATCCTTTTTAATGTCTCCATATGAAATAATTGTCTCAAAAAAATAGCAACACATTAGTCCATTTATTATCTTCAGTTTATCTTTCTATTCCTGGATGGTTTGAGAGGTGCAGAATCACCCTATGGATTTCAGTCCTTTAGGTTTTCGGCCACTATTCCAGGGCACAATCTAAAACAAAAAATATTATGAATGATTAATGTAATAATTAAAAACATTAGCTTATATTTTTATATGACTATTGGATATTTCTATATTCAAGTTGAGTGCATAGATATGATTAAAACACTTTAACAAAACAGCATTGCAGACGTGGAAGAATCAGACTTTTATTATGTACTCCAAGACAGAAAATATACGCAGACTCAGAAAGGATATTTTCATTCAGTTCATTACTTACCTTCCAAGAACTTAAGTTTTGCCTTGTCTGCACAAGCAGGTCTGGCGTCAGACTCTCTGTTCCCTTTCCTCATACCAAACAATGAGCGGCCTTTTATCTCTTCTATATTGAATAGCATTCTGAAGAGCCTTGTTGTACCTTTCTTATTTGAGGCATATGGCTTCAGTTCTGCCATCACTTGGTCCTAAAATATGATAATCAATATCCTATAAGTAAAGACAGAAAATGAAACACTTTTATAAGACCTTGGTATATGTATACAACTCTAAAATTTTAAAATAAGAAAGAAAGAAAGAAATACAACACACTACTGTGCAGGTTGAGTAATTAATAATTTTCCAGTTTCAGTTCTTAACAAACCTTCATCAGGATAAATATTTGTCAAAATTTTAAAGCTAAAGTGTACAAAAACTCTAAAATTTGTAAAACGAAATGTAAATGCAAATTAATTTAGTGTCATAAAGAGTTTGAATAAAAGTAGGTTTTTAAGTAGTGACTAATAGCTATATTTATTAAGAACTGAAGTGTCTTATTGGGTACTGTGACACTTCTTTCCTATCAATTCTAAATTTTTTTTAATTAACTGAGAAACAAAGCAAGATACCTTTGTAAAGCCACTGAAGAACAAGCGCGTTGCTCCAGGCTGCTCCTCATTGCTTTGTGTCTGCAAAAGAATAATTCTTATTTAATGCTGTTTCTGTTATGAACTGTCATTCTCCTAACAGCTTGTTACTCTAGACTGTCTAGTTATGGTTATATATCTAGTTATCTACTGCAGCATGAAAGCTGAATTACAACAAAGAAGGAATGAAACTGAATACTAATAAAACAGTTACTGTTGATCTGCTTCACATGTGACACACAAGGAAATATGTTTATAGCATGAAAGTTGTAGTAATAGGTACCTGGTTATCTATAGTTTGATTGATATAATATATTGTACGTACTGATTTATTTCTATAATTTTTTTCTCAAACTTAAAATTTCTAACATACTGTATTTAAGAAATGATGAAGCTCTTCCTACATTCTTTATATTCCTACATTCTTTATATGTACATGCAGCTTTCTTTTTTAGTAAAGTTACAAACAAATCAAATATAAAACATAATTTTATACAATACCATTTCATATTTTTACTGTTAAAAACTTAACAGTTTCTGCATAAATAACAATAATTGTTGTATGTAAAAGTTGTTTACCTGAAACTTTGACTTGGAATGATTCTGCTGTTTATCTTCTTGTCCCATGTTATAATCTACACATTCACACTTCAGTTAAAAATTCTCATTTCTATTTACCACACTAATAACACTTTTAATGTATTCTTTGATAAATCAAAAATATGCACCCTTACATTTTAAACAAAATATCTCCAGAATTGCTACAATACCAATAATTTCCTTTGTGTTTGCAAGCTTTAACTGACCTCAATTCCTTTGAATTCAAACTTTACAACGGTGTAACTGCATGGACAGTCCATTATAATTTTAAATTGTGAGGGAATTTTCCAAAAACCCACTGCAAAGCACCAGTCATTTAATTATTTACATTCAAGTGAATGTATAAACTATGTCTAATACCTCAATAGATTGAGTAGAAATAAGATTTTGAAAGATAATTTAGCATGTTATTTAACACAGATTCTACATAAAAACATGTATTATGTTGCCTCTCCCAAAATAATCAAATGGAACAGTCTGGTCAGCATGAGTAAACTATTAACCCCCATTCATAGATTACTAGATAAGAGGGCAGTAGTTTTATCAGATCTGTGTTGTATGCAGTGTTGTTAAATCTTATAGGATGCAGTATTTACCAGCTAGTATTTACTTATCCTGTTTATAAGAAATTATCAGACATTATGAGTTATTTACTTTTCACACAATTATTTTTACAATAGATTTAAAGCCTCTGAAAGGCATACTATTGTGTATGACTTATTTTCATACACAGACTTGGTTACTTAGAGTGAGGTATAATTAGCAAGCACAGTGCTTCATTATCTTGTAAGCTAATCTATTTTATATGTATATTTATTAAATAGCATTTAAATATAATTGTTAACTGTTGAAGTTTGATTCATGTTTTTCATTCCTTAAAAATACATAACTCTCTCCTGCAAAGTTATGGAGTTATTGCCCTTTGTAAGTTTCCGTCTGCAAAGCATAGCACAAGAGATGTTAGAGACAATAATTTTAAACTCCACATATAACTAAATCTCATTTATGTGAAGTACAAGCCTAGGAACCATAACTTTTTATTGCATGATTTGGGGTTTATTGCCATTTTTTACTTCTCTATGCTTAATTTTTGTTTTGATCATCCAGCTTAAAAAGTATTGAAGATATTAATTTGAAACTTCACAGATATAGATCTTTTTGAGTAATGTGCTGTGTTAAAGAACCATAACTCTTTTGCATACTTTTGGAGTTATTGCCCTTTGCATTTTTCACTTTCATTATTGTAAGCATAACATGAAAGATGTTAGTACTCACCAGATATCAGTTTAAAGTAATATTAAAGAGACAAATCTCAATTAGAAGAAAAGACCAAAGTCAAACTTTATTCAAGATTGACATTAAATATCATAGAAAAAGCAGCAAATGTTATGCAGAGAAATGCATTTTCTGGGCATAGAAGAACATTTCAACTATTTAATGTACAGATTGCAACTAAAAGAACTAAGTACACTTTTACAGCCATAATTTTATTTTACAAGCATAGAATGGAACATAGGCATTTTTGACTTGAATCTTAAATAAATCTTAAAACCTGCAATGCACAATGATTTCTCAGTTTTTTCCACCAATTTTTATGCCACCCAGAAAATAGTTAAGAGTTTCAATTCCTTTTCGACTAAAAGTTATTTACAAAAATTTTCTAAGATTTTTTCCACTAATTTGCCACCCAGAAAATAGTTAAGAGTTTCACTTTTCCACTAAAAGCCACTCATTTTTCACCTTCAAAATAAACTAAGTTTCATTTTTCACCAATTTCCACCCTTTTGCCACCATAGAAAAAGTCTATGTTCAAATTTCCACTCAATGCCACCTTAATGCCACCAAAGGATAGTGGCATTTGGTGGTAATTTTGCCAATACAGTGGAAAAAGAGTGGAATTTTGTCATTTTCCAGTTAATGCCACCTTTTTTACACTTAATGCCACCCTTTTCAGTGGAAATAGCTGGCAAATAGTGGCAAATCTAGGGACGGGTGTAACGGTCGATTAAACGTTTAACATGGTTATTTAGGTCGCCGTTTCAACGTTTATAATTTTTACTGACCGTGAAATATATCATGATTAATATCATGATTTTCAGAGGAGTCTGGTTTTTCAGATGCTTTTCATTGTATTGTCAATATTATATTGTTAATTATTAATAAACAATTTAATATAATTAAGTATGAAGATTGTTATTATATGAATGTATTAATTTGTGACTTTTTACTGTTCATTATGATTGTATAAATTTGAACTTCTTTACTGTTCATTGTTATAGACATAATGTATTGTTATATGATAATGTAAGTAATTGAAATAAAAATTTTCCATAATTGAAATAAAAATTTTCCATAACTGAAATCAAAATTTTCCGCATATAATGACGTTGCACCTTAAGATGATTGCTGTGGATTTTAGAATCCAGTCAGTGACTTTGGATTCTTCCATGTGAGGAAGTTACTCTGAGCTTGATTACTGAATGATGGTGGTTCTACTGATCAGGTGCCCGATTGTGCCTGAAATAATGCGTGGGAATTGCACCTGAGGTCTTTTATCCACAACTCAAGCCATGATGACCTTCACTGTGTTGGTGTCATATTTAAAACCAAGAAATCATGAAACATTCTGATATCATTTATTGTAGATAAGTATGTATATTGCAAGAGTATTGTAGATAATATCCATAACTTTCTCAAGATATTTGCAGTGATTGATATGAAATATATGAAAAGTTAGTGATATTACACCTGATATCTCCCTATATAAATGTAATATTGGTTAGTTGTATGTATATACACTTTACATTTCAGTAGTGTTTCTTCGATGAATGATACTATACAAATATGGACTTTTTAGCTGGTGAATATATGTGATATGTACTGGAAATATTAATATTGACAGAGGCAATACCCGAGGTCAATATTATTTTTTCAGTACATATTACATCATATTCACCAGCTAAAAGGTACATATCTGTTTTATTATATAATTCATAAATAGCTTTTATATGACTTTTCAAATCTGCCATTGCATATATTGGAAATCAACATTTTTCAGCTTATCTACTTTTTCCATAATTTTAGTTCGCGTAGTTGTTGCACGCCTTTCACGTGCCTCTTTTTCACGCGCTTCAACGAAACATGCATAAATTGTACATGTATAAAGTTGTGGTACTGTCTGTGATTTTCTTTAAATTCTGATAGCCTATTCATATAATAAAACAATTATTGACTAGTGTGCCATTGAATATGATGGTGATATTCACCGGCAGAAAGTCATATTGACCTCGGCTATCACCTCGGTCAATATGTCATCTGCCGGTGAATATCACATCATATTCAATGGCACACTAGTCAATAATTGTATATTATTCACTGATGTTGTCTTATGTTATGTACTGTAGGTAATATTTATTTTACTCCACTGATTCTGTTATCTAATAATCCTTATAATTTCCCCTTTGTTTTTAGATATGCCTCCACATCATTTATTATGTCAACCTTGATTAAAAGTGTTTGCAGTAATTTTGATACACAGTTTGATTATGAAGAGGTAAGATTTTCAATTGAATGGATTATTTTCTGTAACTTTTGTTAAAGGAACTCCACTGAGGTTCATAAGCCTAAAAAAATAAAATTTTAATTTCTCACATAGTTCAACTGGGGCACTTAAAACGGCAAAATTATATAAAAGATTATTAAGAAATATATACCCAGAAATACATTGAAAATCTTATGTTTGTGTTATTCTCAGTCCGATTTGAGTGAAAAGCGTTGCAACACTTTCCTATTTTAGGTCATTTTTGACAATTAGAACTATAATTCTGGAAAAACGAAGCGAGCTAATGATCTGAAATTTTGAATGTTAATTGTTGGTATAGACCTACATCAGATAGAGTAAATATTTCAAAAAATTATTTCCAGTCCCGTCAATTTAAAAAACCTCAGTGGAGTCCCTTTAAAGAAAATGTTAAACTTAGTACATTAAGCTTCTTGTTTCTAGAGATTCTATTGCAGCGCCATTGAAATTTTAAAGAAGTCCCAAGAATTTTTTTATTTTATTTTTTTCCCCATTATACCAAACTAATATAAACCTATCTTGAAGAGTTTTGAGCGAACTATGGAATATATTTTCATGAAAAATGATAAAATTACATATATTTTTCACAAGCTGGAACAAATAGTGTTATATTATTCCTTGTATTCTCTAATAAATGCCCCAGGGTGACATTGTATATCCCAGGGGTCTGTACTTTCAGTGTCTGATGTTATATTATACTTTGTATTCTCTAATAAATGCCCCAGGGTGACATTGTATATCCAAGGGGTCTGAACTCTCAGTGCCTGATGTTATATTATACCTTGTATTCTCTAATAAATGCCCCAGGGTGACATTGTATATCCCAGGGGTCTGTACTCTCAGTGCCTGATGTTATATTATACCTTGTATTCTCTAATAAACGCCCCAGGGTGACATTGTATATCCCAGGGGTCTGAACTCTGCAGTGCCTGATGTTATATTATACTTTGTATTTCTCTAATAAAATGCCTCAGGGTGACATTGTATATCCCAGGGGTCTGTACTTTCAGTGTCTGATGTTATATTATACTTTGTATTCTCTAATAAATGCCCCAGGGTGACATTGTATATCCCAGGGGTCTGTACTTTCAGTGCCTGATGTTATATTATACCTTCAGCCTTGTATTCTCTAATAAATGCCCCCAGGGTGACATTATATATCCAAGGGGTCTGAACTCTCAGTGCCTGATGTTATATTATACTTTGTATTCTCTAATAAATGCCCCAGGGTGACATTGTATATCCCAGGGGTCTGAACTCTCAGTGCCTGATGTTATATTATACCTTGTATTCTCTAATAAACGCCCCAGGGTGACATTATATATCCCGGGGGTCTGAACTCTCAGTGCCTGATGTTATATTATACCTTGTATTCTGTAATAAACGCCCCAGGGTGACATTATATATCCCGGGGGTCTGAACTCTCAGTGCCTTGATGTATATTATACCTTGGTATTCTCTTAAACGCCCCAGGGTGACATTTATATCCCAGGTCTGAACTCTCAGTGCCTGATGTTATATTATACTTTGTATTCTCTAATAAATGCCCCAGCGGGACATTGTATATCCCAGGGGTCTGTACTCTCAGTGCCTGATGTTATATTATACCTTGTATTCTCTAATAAATGCCCCAGGGTGACATTTTATATCCCAGGGGTCTGAACTTTCAGTGTCTGATGTTATATTATACCTTGTATTCTGTAATAAACTCCCCAGGGTGACATTGTTTATCGCAGGGGTCTGTACTTTCAGTGCCTGAATTAGAGGAATGACCTTCATAAAACCAAGAATACACATTATACATTCCCCTATAGTGGTTTTTGTTAATATAGAATAAAATTGATAAATATTGACAAAAATAATGTTTTATGTTTTTATATTAGATTTTCCTGGGTAATATATATTTACTAGAAACATCAGCTGTGTTAACATATATGTTTACGTTAATTTCCATGAATATATATTAAAAGAGCTCCACTGAAGGTCGAATGCTTAAAAGCATTAAATTTGAAAATCTTACAAACGTTAAGTGAATTTCTTAGAATGTAAACTCTGGAAAGGATACCAAAGAAGTATATAACAGAATGAAATTGAAAGTCGATTTTTAGTGAAAAACTTTGCAATACTTTTCTTTTTTTTTAGTTCATTTTGCACAAGAAAAATGATTATTCTTGAAAACTTGGGTGCTGAAATGACCTGAAAATTTGCACCAGACTTTCATCAAATGGTACACAAACCTCAGAAAATATGTCCACAAACCTCAGTGGAATCTTTTAAAACTGCTGTTTTCTTGGTACATTGTTATTTAGTTGCTTTTTATGCCCCCGCCATATAATGGCTTGGGCATATAGTGTTACCCTGTTCCGTCATTCCAAGTTCGAATTTGGTCATTGTTTGATGATAGCAGTGATAGAGGTATCCCTCTTGAAGTTTGTGTTTACATTGAATAGTTTTAAGGGCTTTGAACTTAAAAAAAAATACTTTTTGCAAACAAATTTGGAACTAAATATTGTAACATCTGATATTTTGGCTGCATGCGGGGGCATCCGTGGCGTGACGACATATTTCTAGTTTTTTCTATGTTAAAAAGGAAGAGGTGTTTATAATAAAAGGAGCATTTATTAGAGATTGATTATACTTTTTCTCTTTTTATCTTCAGGTACAAACCTTTTTCTCTCAAAGAGATGTTGGTTCAGGGAAACGTGCGGTCAGTCAAGTGTTAGAAAAAATACAGTCAAACATTGAATGGTCAAGCAAGTTTGAACATGTTGTCACATCCTGGCTTACAAGTCATGGAAAATTAACTGTGAAATAGTTATAAAATTTGATCGGTTTATTCACAGACTTAAATTGTCAGTTAAAGTCTGTGGTTTATTTAATATATAAGTAACTGAGGAAGGAATACTACGTTTAATTATATGAGGTATTTAAGGTTAGCTGTTGACATCAAATTTTGGATAGAATTGGATTGGTTTTAAAGATTAAGTGAGTTTCATCGGTGATACTTTTGAACGAAATTATAAATATTTTAAAAGAGGTACATCATTCTGACTGTTTTCAGTTCAGACTTGGGGATGATTACATTGATCATTAATTGATTTAATAACAATTACTTTCAGATTTTATTGTAATTGATTATGATTGATTACTCAGAATTGCCTCTGTAATCAATTAAAATTACAATTACTTTAACAGAGTAATTGATTAATAACTAAATTATTATTACATTCAATGTATAGCTGTAAAACAAAAGTTGAACTGTATTATGTGAAATCAAGGCATCCTTTGAATTTAGCTCTGATAGTAATCAATGTCAACCAGTTATCATCTTTTGATAAATTTACAATGAATGTTATGTAAGAACTGATTATGGTTGCAGATGTCAAATCACTGACTTTTAAATGATGAGCTCAGATAAGATAACAAAAAGTCATCCTGATTTGTGGGACTTTAATGTAAATGTTCACTATTATGAGATTAAGCATTTATGACAGGTGCACTCTTGTGCAGCCTACTCAATCCATCCAATTTATTATTTTTCGGGTAAAAAAACCAATATTTATAAGATTATAAAATGTTATTTAAAACTCACCGAAATACTCTTTAGAACAGGTACTGTTTGATTGATAAATGTTATATTTACATACTAAAATGAATAATAAAAAAGTTCTACAGATTCAGTTTACATATTTTACATGCACGGAAGGGCACCTGAGGTCTTCCTCCACCAGTAAAGCTGGAACGTCGTGATATGACCTATACTGTGTTGATGTGACTTAAAACCCAAACAAGCAAACATATTGTACATATAGATGTATATACTTTTGTAGGTGTAGATATACGAGGGATGATCAAAAGTTAACCGGACTTTGTAAATAATTCTTTACCCGTTTAATGAATTTACATAAAAATACACGGAACATAAATCGGAATCTATCCCCTAAATGATACAAAAAATACCAACAAGAAAAATAAACAAATGAAAAAGTTATGCTGTTTATTTGGCATGTACATGTAAAGCAATGCGGCCACGGTATAATTTGAAATTACGTTAACGACGTCACAAGCGTGTTTTCATAACGGGCACTTTTACTCATTCACGGATTAGGCCAATAAGTGGGTTACAGTCATGTTGTTGATGCGGCGGATCCACTGTATTATTTTGTACAAGTGGGTATGCATATTGTATCGTAAAAGAATGAATGATGATAAAAAGCCCTGTAATGACGCATTTTTTTTAAAATTTTCCGTTCTTTCTTTTGTAACTTATTGTTTAAAAATTTGCACATGCAATAAACAAATATTATGTATAACAAATAATTAAAATAATCGTTGCTAACTATTTAATTATAACATAAATAGGAAAAAATAAAAGAATAATACAACTGGTAACAAAATTGTCATTATTTTAAAATAAAATAAAAATGCTAGCCGATTTTTGAACAGTGACTGTCTAATTTGTTTGACACAAATTTCTCTAAAAAACTACTCGTAAAATAAGAAAAAAAAATTGATACAATAATTATTCAAACCAAAAATACAAAATATTTAATTTTAATGCATTTAACTATTTCATTTTAAAATCCTTAAGAGTTTGACTGCACCTCCCGTAGCTACTGTTGAAAATCTTTGACAATGTCCCAGTCAATCGACTTTCATGTTTTTTTTTTTTAAGGGTCTCCTTGGCGATTGACGTCACCAACTCCTTGAACATTTCTTTTTTCATGTCTCTCCCTTACTTGTTTTCTATTTCTCTATTTACCCTTTCTTAATCTTGTATGCCTAAACAAAAAAATGCTTGTTGGCTTTCTTGAACTTTTTTCCCTTGACAACCCAATTCTTTTTCTAGGTTTTTAAAAGTTTCTCGTCTTACTTTTGACAATTTTTCTTATTTTTGATCGATTTTTCGAAGATAATACTCGACGACATAGGTTTTAACTTGAGTATTTCATTAACATGTGACATTTGAATTGTAATTGCAGATGATAAATATGATTAAATGAAGTCATTTTTTACTGGACAACGTCAAAGATATGGTTCATGACGTTTTGGCGTATTTTTGAAATCTAAAATGTGCCATTATTGTAAAATTATACACAGCTAAAGCGCCTTGATGTCAAAGGCGAATTTTACGCACTGCGCCGGTGTGTGCGATTACCATGGTTTTTTGGATTCGCTGCTACGGACAAGCGTTTTGCGTTATCAGATTAGATAAAGCATCAGTTTACAGGTATTGTTTTCCGATTAAGTGTGATATATAACAATAAGTGATAGGTTGAAAATTCTTCAATTGACAGTCACAGTCCGGTTTATTTTTGATCATCCCTCGTATATACTATTGTAGGTCAGATAATTCATATTAACTGCATAATTATGAAGACATACGATAAGGCTAATTTGACTTCAAATATTTTGCGTTATATTTTGATATTTATGGCTGTATGTGATGTAAAGGTAGTCTTATTGCAGTGCATGCTTTCCAGCCAAAAAAATTCTAACATCTACAGATATCGTAATAAATTGGTCATTTCCATAATATTATTTTTCACAAGCTTTGGTATTCAATAATTCTGAACCTTTTATAACCGGAATTTAGTACTGTTGTATTATGGGTATATTTATTAATATGTACACAGAGCGTGCACTTGTAATATATAACACAGACACGTGTTACTAGTTCTATTGTTTAATGATAACTGAATATTCCAAGTATATAAGTGGCGGGAAGATAGTGGACATGCGCATTACAGTATGAGATATTATTAAGATGAAACATATGTTTACAATATACAACAAGTACATAGTGTTAAAAACTAGTCATTGTTAATAATCTAATGCCCAAGATTTTGAAAAAAAATTGTTTTGGAAATAACCGATTTGCTTTGATATTGGCCGATGTTAGATTATTTTGGTGGGAAAGAATTACAGTAAGACTACCTGAATTAACTTCTTGATTTCCGGGATGAAAAATCTTCTTCAGGACACCTCCATGATGTTACCAAATAGATATTATCCGGAATTCAGCAAAATGGTTTTTTTTTCCATGCTAATTCCTTGGTACAATCAAACTTTTACGGTTATATAGCTTCACTGTGCACCTATAGGTCACAATAAATTAGTCAACCTGTTGTGCTTAATTTGGAAGCTGTAACTGTAAAAGTTTGTGTGTACCCTCGGATTAACTGGGAAAACCCCAAAATATTCCAGAGTAAGTCTATTTCAATGACAATCTCATAAAATTATCTGGGACATTACGGGCTCAGAGTGCCATATATAATGTATCATACATCTTAGATGCCATCTATTTATAGATAATGTAGTACATGTGTATTTATGTAATATATACTGTGTGTAACTGATGATGATACATAATGTATTGCTGGTGTTAAACTAATAAGCACATAAACAAAAAATGACTGTTTTTAACTGTAAATTGTTCTTATTGTAGATATGTGATAAATATGATATTGTATCCTTGTAGATTCAATGCTAGATTTATTGAACTTGTTGAATAAAACAATATTATGCTTCCCTGAGGCTTGTATAATATGATTTTACAATTTATTCAACTTGCTCAATAAATTTAGTATTAAATCAACACACATTCAATATCCTCTATATATATTAAACATTAAGTGGACTGTTCCCGATTTAAAGCTCGGCAAATCCTGTTTATGAATACAGATGCTTACCGCATAAACCATTGTACAGGAGTGTAATAAAGCCATTTAATAAAAACAATATTACACTTGTGTAATAACACTTTGACTTGACGTCATTTGCGCTATGTAGAAACATAGTGTTAAAGCGCGCTAATGTTAGCATTACACTATAGGCGCATCATTGAAAAATTTCTCATGTTAACAGTTTACTGTTCTTATTTTATATATGTGATAAATAGAATATTATATTCGTGTAGATTCAATACTAAATTTATTGAAATCGTTGAATAAAACAATGTTATGCTTGCCAGAGGCTCCAGGCGCCAGATTTTATTCAACTTGTTCCATTAATTTAGTATTAAACTACACTCATTCAATATCCTCTATTTATTGGCTAATTAGTTAATTAATTATAGTATAACAAGAAAATGTACATCAATTGTATATATGGGTAAATTTTCTCTATCGTATTTATTTTTATGCCCCCCCCATGTAAATGGCCGAGGCATAGATAGTGTTTACCCTGTTCCGTCATTTCCGTCCTTCCTCCTTTCCGTCATTTCTGTCATTCCGATTCATTCATCAGTTTTTCCGTTCATTATCTTAAGAACGCCTTGCACACATTCAACTCAAATTTGTACATATGGATATTGTCATGAGAAAATTACAGGGTTCAAGTTCGAAATTTGGTCTTGAGGTTCAGATGATTTTTGGCAGAGTTATGGCCCCTTTCACTTTAAAGTAATATGAAATTTTCGTTTTCCGTTTATTAATCTCCCCAAATGGTACAACACATTCAACTCAAATTTGACAATATGGATTATGTCAAAGGAATGCCCAAGCCAAAGTTCGAGTTTGGTTCATGGGTTCAATGATTTTTTAGCAGAGTTATGTCCCTTTCACTTTTGAAAAATATATATAGATACATCTTAGGAATAAGCAGTTTAAATTTGGTTTGTAGTTCAATGATTTTAAGACAAACTTATCTTTTCCTGAATGGATTTGGAAAAATTTTGAACTTTCACTTTCAGCCACTCTTACCATTATTTTGCTACAATATTGCAATATGCAATATGCTATTTTTTTAAAAGGTTTAGACTGAATTAATTTTCAGTGCCTTGAACATTGTCATGAAAATGGTTTGGTTTGTTTAACATTTGGAAAAGTTTTAAGGGCTTTGAACTTAAAAGAAAAAAATAATTAATAGCACCATCTGCAAATTTTGGCTGCATGCGGCGGGGCATCCATGGCATGATGACACATTTCAGTTATTAATGATTTTTAATTTGATTACAACATGGTATATTACATGTACATTTATTGTAATTTGGGAAAAATTTTTCTCCCATCGTTAACCCTGTAAACTGGTTAATTATAATGATCTTTATGTTTTACATATTATTTTTGTTGATTCTTCGCTTATGTATATATACAAGTCTTAAGACTTAATTGTTTATTGGAAAAATAGTTTTTACAATGTTGGTTTTTGTTTCAGATTCTATTTTGTAAATTATCTGGTGGTATTTTTGTATTTTTGATATTTTTTAATTTACAATACATTCAATTTAATCATTTTCTTATTAGAGTTGTGTCCCCTTATTCATCGGCACACTTATTGTACGCGCATGTCGTTTATCGAAAAAAGACACAACATTTATAATTGCAGAATCTCCTTTCTGAAGAGTATTCATTTTCAATGAGGTCACAGAGTTTTGATAGGGCATGGGTTCAAACTCCAGGCTTTTTTATTTTTCTTCTTCAATTTTTAACTTTTCTTCCTTTTTTTGGTTGGGCCAGATTTTGATTTTTTTATTTCATATAAAATTTGAAATAAAGATACAATTAAATTTTGTGCATATTTTTACTGTGAATTGTATAAAATTGGATAGGATAACAACTTAAAATGGTTTCTTTATATATTTCACAAATGTTAAAGATATTAACTATGCTCATCTTAGAGTAAAATATTTTATCCCAGAAATTAATTGAAATCTATGTAATTTTTTCTGAGTATGCTTAATTTTAATAAAAGAATGTACAAAATGTGCATGAGAAGCTGCATAGCCAATTACAGGTCAAGTGAAGTTGGTCCTTTCTTTAAAAAAACTGCCAGTTTTTTTAATGGCACTATATATTCTTATTGTGTCCACCTGTAGTGAGTAGAGTTTAAAACATAAGATATCTACTTTGTGTGTAGCCAAAACATGTTTATTCTATATATACAAAGTGACTGT